TAATTTCCGTGTTAAATTTTTTATTCTCTAAATAAGAATTGGAGTATTGTTTGAGGACCCCGTGGGAATCATTTGAATATTTTACCTCAATCATGTACCTTGATTTACTCTCGGATTTACAATCGTCTTGTATGTATGAATTATCTCATTAAATAGAAAACGTCTTCGATCCCTACTAGCCTTGCGAGAGCTAGCGTACTATTACCTATATTACATTTCAAAACTGTAGAATTTTGAAGTGCACTGTGCAAAGAGAGATTCTCTCCTATTTAACATAATTAAATTTGTCAGTAACGCTACATACCCAGTGGTATTTGGGTAAATAAAGTAATGCATTTACATTCCCTAGCAGTATGAATCTCCGAAATGTCGTATTTCCTATGAAAGCTGTTCAAATACACTTCAGTTTGGTATAAAAAATTTGTACATTACATAAATTAGCATTTACTATAACGCCCTTTTGTAAACGTGCTTGAACCAAGTTACGTTCCATTTGCGTCTATACTTTCCAAACTTAATCTGACAACTTACAATTCGCAACACATCTTAAATTTGGCAACATCAGCTTTAAAAGACAAAACGCCAAGCAGTAGGGTTTTATTCAAGCGGAAAATAATATGAAAGGGAATGGCAGGGCACCATATACTTGAAAAACAATACAAACAATACAAGAAAGACGAGCTGAAAGTAAACATCGTTCGACATTAGTGTCGTGCGTCTGAAATTGGCATCTTGAAAATAGCATTTTCTCTCAGGGATTATTAGATTAATGATTCATTGTTGTCTTATCGTTGCTAAGGACATTGGGAGTAGTCCCTATTGTGTGGCCGTGATTATGTGAAAATGGGTTTGCTGCCCTAAAATCTTCTACAGGCTCAACATATTTCTATGGTAGTCGCGGAACGCAACTGTACATTTATAATTTAGGTACCTATCTCCAGACAAAGATAAAATAATTTATTGTACCTGTCCTCTAATAATATCTTGTTCTCTAACGCCACTTACGTCCTGTAAGTGATTTGCGGCAAGGTCACTAAATGATATCACACAAAATGCAGGAAATTCTTAGGAAAGCTGATCGAAATATTTGTGTTGGCATATCTGACAATGATTGTTTGAGATATTTATCCTCTAACGTCTTATTTTTGTGCTTTAGTTCATTTAGACGCATTGCACAATGTTCATAGACAACACATGTACTAAATGATCGGTATACCCGCTATCAATGGGGAAAATAGATCAACCAACTTGAAATTGTACCTTAGTGTTGTTGAGATTTATACTTAATGGTATAGATTTAAAGTGTCTTGGAAATAGTAAATATCTGGTCGTGTATGTCATGAGGTACATCAGTGCTCCAACTGCATGTACATATGGAAAATCAATTTCTGAATTCGATTCTCCAATCTACCTCCCTGGTTCTTTCGTACTTTCGGTAATAATCGGCGTGGATACTGGTTTACAGTTTCCCATTTGAAACCTTCGCAGGAGTATTCTTGTATAACTCGTTTGACTAATTCTAATCGATCCTTCTTCGATTCTTTCGATTTCTAATGCAAGATATTACGAAGCTAGTTTCATTGTAATTTTGAATTGATTTTTAAAATTTCTCACGAAATCTTCTCCTTGCTTTTTTTATGAACAAACAAGGATCAGCATCACTCCTTTTAAAGCTTTGTTTGATCATGAAATCTCTTTGTCTTGTCTTTCTCTAGTTTCCCATACAAAAAAAGCAGTCGAAACATCGAATTGTGTTAGCGAATAACGACATATTTTCGCCTGCTGCGATGCCCAGTATTGCTCTAATTGTACTGGACTGCACCACTGGACTAAAGGTTTTTGGATAAAGACATTATTTGAATATGCTGCGAACACTAGAACTACTTTCATTAGAGGTGTCTACATACAAAATTTTATTTATATACCTTAATAATTTAAAAAATCGCATTGCGCACGCGCAAACTACATGTTTTGATTCGGCGTTAGTTACATGAGGTGCCTACATTCAAAATTTCAGGTAATTCGGATTATAACTAACAGAAATATCAAAAATCGGATTGCGCATGCGCAAAACAAATTTTTTCATTCGTCATTAGTTTTACTTTTATTCGAGGTGCTTATGCAGGGTGGCTTAAATTGAGTAGGATAACATGACTATCTTTTGTTATTATTATACTTACAGATTCGGTTAAATTGGCAAAGTTGTGTAGTTTTTGGTGCTAATGGATATTTTGAAAAAATTAATCGTTTCGTAAGATAATTAAAAAAAAAAGTGAAAATCGACATTTTTAAAAAGTTCAAATATTTTAGTAACAAAGAGCTATCGAAAAACGTTTCAAATAAAAGTTGGAAGATTGGATGGTATAAATTCGCTGGACGTAGAAACAATTTTTTCAAAATGGCGGTTTTCGAGATATTGACATCTACCTTATTTTAAATGGACGCGATATTAGATTTTTACGTCACTCAACAGACAAAAACTACAAAACCAGTAATACTAAACACTTAGTATTTTATTTGGGAACCAACCTTGCATTTTTACCTCGAAGTTTACAATGTATATCTTATGGTAATAATTCCATGGCTGATTTATGATTGAAACCAAATTCATTCCTTTATTATCTCGCATAGTCACCATTGACACGGCCATGGAATTATTACCATAAGAAATACATTGTAAACTTCAAGACAAAAAAAAACAAGATTGATTCCTAAATAAAATACGAAGTGTTTGGTATCACTGGTTTGGTAATTTTTTTTTCAATATCGAGTGACGTAAAAATCCAATATGGTGTCCATTTAAAATAAGGAAGTTGATGTCAATATCTCGAAAACTGCCATTTTTAAATTTTTTTTCTATACTCATTGAGTTTATTCCATCGATTCTTGCAACTTTTATTTGAAGCCTTTTTCGATAGCGCTCGTTGTTACTGAAATATTTGAACTTTTTCTAAATGGCGATTTTCACTGTTTTACAATTATCTAGGAAACGATTTATTTCTTTCAAAATATCGCATCGGAATATCCATTCGCATCAAAAACTACACAACTTTGCCAATTTAAAAGAATCTGTAAGTATAATTATAACAAACATAGCCATTTACTGAATTTAAGACACCCTGTATACAACATTTCATGCAGTTCGGTTCATAACTCACGAAGATGTCAAAAGAGCCTTTTTTATTTTTTGGTCTACATTGCCAATTCACGAACTCCTATCTACGAACTTGATAAAGAATCTACCTCCAAAATTTCATCGTAATCGCCGTTCTCTTATTTTTAAATCGATGAAGCCATCGAGCGAGCGACAGGGCGATTGGGAAAAAGCATAATCGCCTCGTTTACAACTCGACGCTAAAACAACGTTTGTACATGAAGCGCGAGGCAAAGCACGAGGTTAAATAAAACGCTTAATTAAGCATGTTCATGTAAAAAATGATTGAAAGAATGCATTGTCATCAGGAATAAATACATGTGGAAAGTTTCAGATTGATTGGATTAGTAGGTAGAAGAATACGGAGATGGGGACGACCGTCGCTTCTAAATCGATTTGCTCGCCTGGATTACAATAATGCAATCCTAGATGCGGTCGATCTTCCAATGTAATGAAATTTCCACATTGTTATTAGGTCTAAATTTGTGACTTCATCGTACCTCATGGCGTCTCAATGTGTTTCTCCCTCGGAAATTGTATGGATTAGTTTGAATTAGTTTGAATTTACGTGAATTATTTTGAATTGACGTGAATTATTTTCAATTGACGCGAATTAATTTGAATTAACGTGAATTAATTTGAATTAACGTAAATTAATTTGAATTAACGTGAATTAACTTGAAATAACGTGAATTAATTTGAATTAAGGTGAATTAATTTAACTTAATGTCGTAAATTAATTTGAAATAGCGTGAATTACATATTTTGAATTAACGTGAATTAATTTGAATTTGATTTTTTGGTGCACACCAAAAATTGTACTTGTTTCCCTATAGCCCCTACTACGCGGTGGTTATAGAAGCTGCTCTTGACGCGAACCGAGTGGCGTTTACACGATTTATCCTGAGAATCACATACCCCTATGACATACCCCCGACTTCAGTGCCCGGTACACCCTATCCCTGGCCACGTATTTTGTATTGAAAACATAGGGCTAATAGCAGTCCATTCACCTACTGTATGGCCTAAGATTAAAGCACAACATAATCGCCTTGTGCTGTCATTGTCACGTTTGGCAAGCATGAACTGTATGCCTATAAACAACATACTGCATCTGATGCAATTAATACCATCATACATCTTGATACAACAACAGATCTAAAAAACATAAGTGCACTTTATAATGACTTGCCCCTTTTCCCCCGAGATTGTCTTTTATTTATCTTTCTTTTGATTCTAGAACAGGAAAGGAGCGTTTGAGACCGTTAATAAACATTACGATATGGTTGACGGAAAATTGACCCATTGAACGCAGAAGAAGTATAACAGATTTCAATTTTGGGAAAGTTTGTGAATTACGCAATACAACTTATTTGGGAAAGATAGAAATCAAGAGCTTCTTGCAAAGTGGCGAGAGATTCTGTTGAGGTATGTATGTTAAACTTAATTGACTACTGTGTTTTAGATGAGAAAAACAATAAGATAATGCTAAAAAAAAGAGTCATAATTACTACTAGCAACTCCAAGGAATTATGCAAATTTTTTTAGAGAAATAAGTTAACATTCCCTTTAGGAGCGTATGTTGCCGACTTTCCATTTAGAACCCCACCAATACCTTTTGTGGGAAAACACCAATGAGCATCGAACACCTTCAAGAGATCAAATAAATTCAAATTGTAAAATGGAAAGTTTCAAACTGTCACAAGAATTGAGGTTTGAGATTAAACGATTTGAGTTAAGTTAGTAAAAGAAGCTCGCTTAATTCTATGCTACATTTCCTTCAGTAACTTTTTCCCTACTTCGCTAATACGGCGTTTTTAAAAGTGACAATTTCCTGCTGGCGATGCTATGCGAGTACGTCTGTACAAAAATTGAATTAGCACACAACATTAGTTCATACCGATAAGAGGCCTAAATGTTAGTTATAAGTCCGCTTGATGGTGATTGTATATACTTCACACCCACAAAAATTTCCTTCCTCTAAACCCTATTACAGAAATGGCACTGTGTACGTAATCTCAAAGAAAGACTGACTTGAACGCATTTAATTTTCTTTACGACCTAAAATGCTTTATCCCGGCCGAAGAGAATTAAAGTTTAAATTTATTTTATTTGGGAAGTGCTGTACGGACATTGTAAAAAGAAACAGATAATCATTGTTATAACAAAAAAAAGCTTACCGAGTAGGTAGTCGACATAATGAGGATTGATTTTTTCCAACTGTCCCTTGTTCCAAGCGTATTCGGCCTTTAGGCCTCGCTTTTTCTTATCTCGAACCCAGTCGTCGATTAAATTTCTGCCGTCGAGGCGCCGACCCTCTTCTTTCGTCTGTTCAGGATCACGAGCTACTTTTGGCATCCAATGTCTTCTACCGCCCCCCAATATAACCTGCAATAAATTATTGCTACACTAAAATTTATTTTGCTGCTAGATTAATTTGAACACATCTAAAACGGCAAAGCCGATCACTGTTGATTAAATATGTAGGCACGGCCGTGCCTCAAAATGGGATTCATCCTTGTAGGATTATCAGGTTGATACATAATGCATTGACTTTGAAATGAGCTGCTCTTTTTTTACGTGTGTCATATACATAAACAGGATTCAAATTTGTAGAAACAGAATAAATAAAAAACGACCGTATGAAAGAATGGAGTTTTTACGGTTGTAGTCAATATTTGAGAACCGTTTTCTCCACTAGAGAGGTATCATTGGGTGAAACGTGCAATCCACTGATAAAGGAACAAAAAAATCTGTTTGCTCTTAACTAGGGCAAGGAAACCTATTCATCTCAATGGAGGGGAAATATTTGTCGGCCTACAGAATTTTGTATACCGTTTATCTCAACAAATAATGTCGTCGATTTTTATGACTTGCGTTGTTTGGGAATAAATCGTTTCAAACGTAACCAAAATATACCGTTTGGCGATTTGGAATTAGCATTCAGAATAATGGTTGTTGAAATGTCTGCCTTTTTCAACTATTATGTTTCATTTAGTTTTCCCCTCGGTTTTCCGGAGCAGCCTCAACTGCAGTGCAATTATTTCAAACACGTGACATAGTTAGAAAACATAGGGAAACAATGCCAACATGGGTTAAATCTGTGTTGTGTAGGTATATAAAACAGTTTAGTCGACATGCCCGAAGTGTCTTCGCAAAATCAAGACCTCGAAAAAAGAATTTATCTCAATTCTGTTCTGTTTTGTTCTCACCTATCGAGTACATTAAAAGGATAAAAATGAATGATTTTCATAATTGTATGCAAAGAGCTTAATTTACACCAGGAAGTACGAGTATATATTACCCTGTAGTGGAAAACAGTACAGCTTCGTTTCGTATTTTAATTCACAACTGACAAAGCCAAGCTAAAACAAATAGGCATTTATTTTTGTTGTTTACTTCCAAACTCCGCTAACTTCATTGGATAATAGTTCATTGTTTACTCTTTCTTATCTACTAATTTCTCGGATTCCAATACTAAACACAATGGAATACACACCGTAGCTATTCAAAAAATCCCTTACAGGGTTTACGCATTCACGGCTACCATAAACAGAAAGTGAGAACACCCCCAACGCGAAGTGGCTAACGTATTATATTTATATTAGATACCCTCCGTGTTTTAGTTTATAATGGGCAACTGAATACGAATAGTAGCTTTTTTGTTATTCCTACTCCATCCCCTATACAAACACGAACAGCAATGCTGCGGACTTTGACAATATCAGTCTGGGAATCGTGGAGGATCATTTTCTGAAAGTAATTTTCAGTTTAATTATTCCTTCTTAATAATACAGTTCACATGTTTTACTTCATGCACATAAGCCGAGAAAGGTAATATTCAAAATTAAAATATACTGTTGTGTATACAAGCATTTTACGGGAATGTAGAACTTTTTCTTTATCATTGATCATGTGATCAGTGTATTTTTGCCGGGGAAATCCCAAAACACCACGACACCATAAAAGAGTCACTCCCTAGTTACTTACATAACCCGGAAACCTCATTCCTCAAGGTCAGGAATATTTTTCCGAGTAAATCCTACACCAAGGTCACGAGTTTGCACTACAAACAAGGGCACTCATTAGTTACGTCTTTGTTTCTTCCTAATTTCGTTCATTGTAAAGAAATACTTTATTATTCCTATTAGTTTTCAATCAATCGCCAGCAAACGCATACATTAACTAATGTACCATTACCAACTTTATCATTTTCTCATCATCTTTCTCCTACAGTTTACGCGATCCTAGCGATGCATCCTTTTCGCCTGTGAATATTGTGTGCAAAGTTGGAAAAAATAAGGATTTTCAACATCAAGTAGGAAAACGTTGTCGTTTAGTGTCTGTAAGGTTTATTAATTGGTTTATGAACACAAACAACAACGTAACACTAATTAATAACAATGAATAATTTAAATCTCACGTTAACAAAGGTTGCAATTTAAATATTCTTAGTAAACGTAAACGTTTGAATTAATGGGGAAACGTCCAGGATCTTGTAAACTGACTCGACAGAGGTGCGTCGTATGGAACTGCAAAGGTAGTACACTACACCAGCTTCCAGGGGTTTCTTCTCTGTGAAGACGCTTTGGAGTCGCTGGCAAAAGTGATACTGGCTATGGTAGCGGAGAACGTCTAAGAAAGCGCGTTCCTTTGCGGAAGAGCGGTGGTAGTCCCGCGCACAGAATAAGACCTTCACAGAACAGAAACATAAATAGCGCTAAACTGTCACTGATTACAGCGTTTCCCGTGGTTGTACGGAGAACTATTTATCGCAGACTCAAATATTTTTTTGCAAAACCTGTAATTTTGCTCGTTACAGGAAATATTTTTGCCGTCGATTTTATACGTACATGTCATTTTTGACTTTTGAAAGATTTAAAATATGAACAAGTTATGTGACCGTAAAAAGTGTTGTGTGGCGGATTGTAACAATAAAATATCAAAAAGGCATCGTTTCCCATATTTTGAAACATATTGTTTTGTGCTTGAAACGCGAAGAGGATTGAAATGTGCTGTCATTTCTCTCCTATTTATGCAAGGTATGGAATTTATAAATTACCAACGGTATAGGCGCAAAAGGGTGTAGACTTGAGTTTTATATTTATATAGACGTAGATACTTAGGTATATTATAATTCGTTTCAGACAATGAATAAAAAATACGTTTTAGATAATTCAACAACTTCCACCCTCGCTTCTCAAGTAACAAGTAAGCACCAGAATCAAGTTAACATTTTGTTGTCAAAAACTTGTGTGACAATTTGCTGAAACGGTTTTATTACCTCTTGGAACAAAAAATTTAGTTCTAACGATATTTTTTAACAAAAATATGTAGTCCAAACAGCAATTAAAACCAAATATTTCGTACGACAAATCGTTATGTAAGGATCTTTCTCCAAGTGTTAACATCTACAAACCGTAAGTTCCACTCACTTCTGAGTTTTATATGTAATTTGTAAACATGTAATTTAAGTTCTCTGTGTTAAATAATGTAATGTGATTGTATCTAAATACACTTTAATTTAACAACTGTGTATTCTTTATCGATATTTATGATTTATATCGAATTTGGGAAATTACTTCATGACTTTAGAAGCTGGTCACCAGATGGCGCTACTCTGACTTCGATGCTTTAGTTCACAGTACACCCACCAGGCTCCGCCAAAATACCATACAAACTAAAGTCACTAGATATAGAAAGTACCGCAATCATCCGCCATTTTTGGGCAAATTTGCTGCCAACTTAAAAAAATTGACAAATAAAATCTGAATAGCTGTCATTTTTTATAACCTAACTTCATAGTACTGTCATGTTTTATAAAAATATATACAGATATCTCCAAACAGGTGGAACAATCCCTAACATTAAAGTTACTAGAATCTGGTAATTTCCGCCATTTTTGGGCAAAAATCATGCGTTCTCTCTCTAACACACGAGCCTAATGGATTGCGGTACTTTCTATATTTAGTGACTTTAATACAAACATAGATATATAAATACATAGATACAGCCATACCCCAACATAGTTCAAAAGGACGTACCATCTATTACCATCACTTTCGGCACATTAATTACGTATAGCGCTATCCTTTATAGAGGTACCCTGAGCATGGAAGACAAGATTCGCATTATTTATTATAACTGTCAATCAAATTGTTCGCACAAGTCACACAGAAAATTATCAGATTTGAGACTTTACAACATAAATAAACCGCCTTTTTATTTATTTAAATCGCATAGCAGCAAGAAATGTTACATTTAAAATGGAAGATGTTACTTAGAAAGCTGGCAAATGAAGAATTTGAAAAAATTACAGCTGACAACTGGAAGAAAGTGTGTGAACATGTGGAAAGTGATTAATTTAAAAGAGAAGTTATATTGGTTGATGTTTCTGAACTTTATAATAAGTGTTAATAATGGCAGTGATGATTCGGATTTGTCAATTTCATCTGACGATTATTCGGATTGTGAACTTTTAGAAACGTAATGAATGTTCGCTAAATGAGTATTATCACCAATTGGATATCATTGTTAAGATGTTGTATTTATTTTAAATAAATGTACACGTGTAGCTTGCTTACTACAATTAGCACTATAATTTCAAAAAGAAACCCCACCGATTGGACATATGCCGAAAGGTAGGCAAGACGCGTAGCGATAAAAAATTTGATATTGCACGCACACACAGTCTATAAATCTCGTTTTCCTAAGAATATTGCACGGATCCTGTGATCATGATACAAACGCACTGCATCAACATTATATAGGCCAAAATGATAATTGGAAACGAATTCACTTCCTGTCGCAACTTAATCTCCGTTACCATTACGCCTAAAACCATGCAATTGAAATTAAAATGTTGAACATAAACTTTACTTACTTACGGTTTTTTTGATATTCTGCAAGCCAGCAATGAATTCACTGCAGCACATCATGCCAAACAACGTAAACATAGTCCCAAATTTAAATGGCGTAGCTCTATGTAATAAAACTATTTCAGGAATAACAATTATGGACGCGTCTATCATTATGGCAAGCACTAATGTTATTCATATACATTTGATAACGCAATAATTACATAATATTTAGTGAAAAAAACCGTCCATCATGTTTAGGGCGAATATTTTTAGTTAGATTTGATTTCGCGCGATCGTGAAATGTGTCAACTGTCACATGACTTATGGGACGCGCTAAGTTTGTTTTAAGCGTCCGATTCGCGTACGACGTAGTGGTTAATGCAATAAAATGAGATAGAACATGTTTCTTCTTGGTTAGAAAGTAATGGAGAGATGTACAAATTTCTTTGATATGTTTTTTAAAAACCGAGGTACGTTTGTTAAGGATGGCTGTATCTAGGTATTTATATATCTATGCATACAAATTTG